TGAATAATGTTGCTTTTGTAGAATTTACTATCAAGTCCTTAATAATTGGCTTGTAGGAAGGTTAAAAAGAATGAGGTACAAGTGGAAGGGGCAATGGTCATGTCTTGATAGTGCACTAAATGGCTAGAAGTCTCATGATTATGGTGCAAGTGGTTTTAAGAATGTAGCAACTCCCAAGGGTGGATGATCTCAATTGGTGGAATCAAGAACCGCATGAAGGTGGTTGCATGTGTAGGCTTTGAAATGATTGAGAGGGTTGTCAATGAATGCAACCAAGTTGCTCTGAACAAAAGCATTCATGGAATAGCAGAAAGTAAATGTGTACAATAAGAGCTTAGTATAATTGAATGTTTTGAATGGATACATTTACATGATATTGAAAACCTTGATTCCAATGTGTGCACTAGGGTGCGCATGAATGGAAAGTTGATGTTGGTTTATGGTATGTTTATGGTTTATGGTATGGATTCCAATTGGCGCAAGCCTGGTAATTTGCCTAAATGGTAGGAAGGTGAAGAGAGAATCATGCGATTTAGTGCAAGTCCCTGATGAGAGGTGTATGGAGGGGTGCATCCCCCCCACCCCCTCCCAGGAAAGTGGAGGGGGTGGGGGGGATAATAATATTTGTTGTATTCTTCTTCTTCTTCTTCTTCCTCCTCCTCCTCTTTAAACACATTACACATCTCAGAAATGAACCTTGAAAAAGATTGAATTGCACATCACCAGTACAATAATGGGCACTGCCATATTACGCCCATCAGATCACAAGATTAATAACATTAACAGTGTGATACCAACCATCAGATTTAGTTTAATTAAAAGTCCACTACTTCACCCATCCTGGTTCAGTCCTGGTTCACATCAACAAAGCTTTAATTTCATTTTTTTAATACTAAAATGTGCATGCCTCTCTGCAGATCCCCTTTTGATAATTATGATGACAATGGGCCAGAACCCACTATTACATTACTTTCATGTGTTTGATCTTGAGTTTTTTTAACTTGTTTAAAATGTTCACATTCATTATACTTATGCAATCTAATAGTTCGATTATTTAGTTTCAATTTATTCTAAATCAAAAGAGTAATCTATTTTAAATAATTTAGTTAAAAATCATAAATTTCTTAGTCTTGAAATATGAATGAGTTATTTTTAGCTTCACTTTACCAATGTGACAATGCCACTTTCTGATAATTTCTCATATAATATTATTAGTGTAATAATAATAAGAGTCACTCTTTAAAACTGAAAATATTATTCAAATTAATATTTATCTGTTCTTCCATTCAAAAAGATTTTTGTGTTCTGTACTTTCATGATTATTTCGAATTAAGTTTGAAGGGGATTATGAAAAAAATCTATTTGTTTTTGTGTTTTTGTATTTTTGTAATTTTTTAAGAAAAATTTGTTTTTGAGGAGATGAATTTAAGAATTAAATTATTAAGTTGTAAATAAAACAGATTCTGAAGCTGTTCATTTGAATTTTTTTAAAAAAAAATTTAATTTTAAAGTTAAGTGGCATTTGCCACATCAAAAATTAAAGAACAGAACATAAAAAGAAGAAGTACGTCATTCATTTTTACCATGAATTTATTTTCCACCATGAGTTCTTTCTCTTAAAAAGAAAGTGATTTCAATTTCAACATTTTCTAGAAAGCATACAGGATTGGTGTTTGTGAATCAATTACATATAAAGTTTCAATTCCTTGATTTATGTTAACAACACAGTATTTAAATTTAAACTAGGCTTTAAAACGTTTTTGGTTTTCGTAATTACTAAAGATACAAAATCAAAAAAAGAAGTTACAATGACAAATTCAACAAAGATTTCCAGTAAATCCGAAATTCAAAAATATTTTTTGAAAGAAGGAAAACCATTGAATTTTGATAACATTATATCAAGTAGTAATGAAAATAATACTGGCCATAACAATGAGTCAAATATACAACACTCAGAAACCCAACAACATCTTAAGTTTCACAAAAGTAATGCAAAGAAAGTTATTTCTAATTTTAATAATCATTTTCAATCAAAATTCAATAAGGATACAAATAAAATTATTAATGATTGGTATGGAAGTAACAAAATTGGAATCATATCATCAAATAGAGAGCAATATTATAAAAGGCATCAAGAAAAATTACTTGAATATGCTAAAAATAATAATTTTCAAAAAGATGTATTACCAATAAGCCAAAAAATGCCCACAAAGCTATTAAAATATTCAAGTTATGTTTTTATGGAGGACAATCCTATTGCAAAGTATAATCTACAAGACATGATGATGGAAGAACCTAATACTATCAAATTAAAAAGCCAAAATCCTAAAATTAGTCATTATAATAATTGCTTGAATTGTACAAGATCGCAACTTAGAATACAGCACTTAGAAAATCAATTAAAAGACCAAGAAAAGCTGCAAATACAATTATCAAAACTAAAATCAGAAGAAAGTGAAATAAAAAGACTTGAAAAATATGTAGGTTTACTTGAAATGCAACGTAATCCCATTAAAAAACTTCAAAACAAGATCAATGAACTTGAACAACAAAATTATAAATTTTCAAAACATGATAATATTATACTGAATCTTGAATCAGAGCTTGAGAAATCTAATAAATGCAATGAATGGTTTTCTAAGAAATTTCAAGATTATCAAAATCATATGAAACATTGTCACAATACTTTGTTAAGATAAATCATTAAAAAATTATAATAATGTGTGTGTGTGTGTGTATATATATATATATATATATATATATAATTGATTAACAAAATATTACTATAAATAATATAAAAAGTAATCCATATTTTGGATGTGAACATAAAATTTGTAAAGAGAAAAAATGACGAAAATTTATATTTTATTTCCAGTTTAATAATACCAATTTTTATAATTTATAAAAACACATTAATCAAATGATTTTAGTTACTTAAAACATGTCATGTATTTTTCCTATTAATTTTTTTTTGTTACACTCTTAAATATCTTATTAGTAGATTATGACCTAAAAAAATAGATTCTAAGATATGCTATTATTTTCGAAATTATCAATTAGAGTTTTTAAGAATCTATTCAATGAAAATAACTAAGCTATGGTAAATTTATTTACACTTGTGTGTATATATATATATATATATATATAAGAGAATATTCAATTGACCCCTCCACTCTTAAATTGATCCACTATGAATAGAGTAGAAGGGTTACCTCAACTAAAATAATTATTAATCATTTTCATCATTTAGTATCCTTAGAAACTTCTCTTCTTGCCATACCTCTCTTTTTGATCCTTCTTCACAAATTGCCTCCAATGCCCCCTCAACTTCCCTCCAATGTAAAATAGTCTTTTTGTTGCATGTTTCCATCTTTGTAACTAATCCCTCAAATTTAAATTCCTTGCAATAAGTGCTCTATGTTATGTCCATGAGAAACAAACCAAGACACTAATCTTGCTTGCTCTTCTTCCCATCTAGCACAATTAATGCATCAATAGAAAGAGTAGAGCATAGTGGAGACATGTGAATTGATTTTAGTTTTAAATGGATCAATTTAATATTCTTATCAATAAATAATACACACACACACACACACACATATATATATATATATATATATATCTGTATGTATGTATGTTTATATAGAATAGTAATGATTTTTTTGAATATTCTAAAATTTTCATAGAAAATGTTATAGACATTGAAAAATATTTATTAATTAATTTAAAATGATATTAGTAATAAAATGAATGGATCTCTAAAACTTTAATTAAAATAAATATTATAATTATATTTTTACTTTGTTGAAAGAATATTCAAATGAAAAATGTAGAATTTTGATATTTGATACTTTGCTTATTTTAAAATCTTATAACTAGAAAATTATTAAATCTTTAGTGACATATTTGTTATATAAATTTTTATCATATTTATTTTTGAATTAAAAATGAAAATAAATAAAAAATTAAAATAAAGACCATAATAAAAAAAATTCCATTATATAAAATAATGTATTAGAAATTTATAGCATTATTTCTAATTACATGTTAAGTTTACAAGTTTTTTTGATTCAAGGAAGAAGTAATATTTCTGAGTTGCCACTCATTCTGGTAACACAAAAAAGAAAAAAAAAAAAAAAAAAAGGCTTCCTAAAAATTATTAATAAATTATATCTTATTAACCTATACCATATTTAAAAAAAAATTAAAGTTAAAAATATGAAAAAAACGATTATATTATAAGTATTTAGTATTTAAGTGTATGATTTAATTACATACAGCTGATTAAAAAATCTTTATCTTATTCATTTATTGTTTTTTTTATTAACTTTTGTCGACTCCTTATTTTTTTTAAAAAAGAGACTTCAAAGCTATGCACTAATTTAGAAACAATATTACATATGTGTCTGTCTTTTATATTTGAAAATTTGAAAAAGAAATAAAAAAGAAATTATCAAACACATTATCAAAATGTTAGCTAATAAAAATAAAGCTATCGGCTTTAAATTACTATAACATAGAGCAATGTTATGATTTTTTTTATTTTTTATTTTTTTTTTGTAATATAAGGTGACTAATAATTATTTTACTTCTTAAGTTTCAATACCTTTGTAAATATAATCATGATTATTTTTGTATTTTTGGTATCTGTCCATGAATTCAAATTTTGTAGAATTTTATTCCAAAAGTTTATGTTATGGGAGACAGAAATCTAAATAGATATCTATACATATGTATAATATGAACTAAGTTTTTCAATATTGAATCTTATTAGTAAATATTGTCAGTGAAATTAAGATTTAAAATAATGGATGTTCTCTATTTCAATATAGGTAGCACCTTACCTTGTTTTTCAAAGCACCAAAAAAATTCAACTATTAGCTTAGAAGGAAAGCGTGAAAAATACAAATAATTAGAAGTTGAAATTCTTTACTTTATTTCTATATTATTCTCTTATATCTTATCTCAAGGCCTCTTCAGAGTGGAAATAAAAAATGTCCTTGTGGTAAAGCACTTTCTGTAAAATAAAACTTTTATTCATCTTCTCTCATCTTGCTCTGTGATCCATCTTTGTCCAGATAGCCATACCTGGACAAAAATAATTTGGAACTCCTCCACCCAACTTTGGAGACAAGGGAAGTTTGATGAACATGAGTTAAACCCCAGATAAACATCACAGAATGCTATTATTTTATATTTGATGGATAATCTAGGAGCTATGTCAAATAACAATTCTAGTATACAATGTAAACCTCGCTAACTCTGAAAGCTTAATGTACAGATTTCTTCACTACTAAGCTGATGAACATTGATCTAAAGCAATCCTATACGAGACTAACACTTCCTGCAATTGCTGAATAAGGTCTCGCAGAGAGGTTAGGTCATCCCTTGTGTCAGGAAAAAAGGACAAAAAATGTCTCAACTGCCCTGTCCATTTCTCCACGAACTTGAAACTATGTACTGGTGGCATTTGTATAAGTTTGCCGAGCGGATGGGTTTGACCCTCGTTTGGGAAATAAGATCTTGAGGAATATTGTCTGCGAGACAACCTTGATACATCCGACTGACCATTCATGACCTCGGCTATTACATGGGCGGCGTGTGCAGTGAATGATTGGCAGTTCTTCAAGCAAAGTTGAAATATCTGTTACAGTCGAGCAAATGGGTTAATAACTATATCTATGATAAAACATTAAAAATTACACATGATTTTAGCTATGCCTCACTTGAAACACACTAACTGCAGAATAATTGGGCGGGGAAACGCCATATGCGCACAAACTCACTAGATAACTGCTAAAAACTGTTCCTAAAAGGGAAATATATGAAGAACCCAACAACGCTGAATAAACCAAGATTACATTGAAATCCGATCTGCAAGAAAACACCAGAAAAATAAATCAGGACCTGGCAGCGATATAGGGCACAATACAAAAGCTTAGCAAGCTTTACAGTGGGTAATTCTAGTGTAGCTCCGCCTTTGCTCAAGCGCTCCTTCAAGCTGTAGAACACAAGCTCGTCTGCATTCACAATTGTGAAGAGGGATATATCAGCGAAATAGTAAGGCAATTAAGTAGCAGCCAATTACTAACATAACAACATGAAAACACCACGAGATCAAAAGAAAATCCACAGAAAATGTCTCAAGCCGCTTAAGTACCAAGACACGTCAGGAGCCCTTTAATCACAGCTACATTCAGAAATCAACAGCGTCTACAATAGAAGCTCACCTGTAAGGTATTGCACATCAAAGAAAAGACTGTCGTATTTCGAGCCCTCCCTTCTAATTGAGAAGGACTCCAAACACTTTTCAAATTCTATAAATGCATCCTGATTCTGCATGCTCCAGCTTGCCGGCTTCACTAGTTCCCCTGATACCGAGTCAACCTCTCTGCAATTGCCACTTCCTGTAGCAACGTGATCCTTTTTGTTGGGAAATATCGGTAGATCCAACCTAGGTCGCATGGTTGATTTTTCCTGAAGACCCTTCAATAACCAATCCATCAAGGAGTAAAAAGTGCTAAGGAATGACGTAATTTCGAGTTCGAGGCGCTCAAAGATATAAGACTTCTTGGGCCTGCAAAAATTCAATCCGTGTGCTGGTCAGCAACATCCTCACCGCCAGTGACCAGATAGCAAACAGGCTACTTGCTATGATCAGTATATGATGAAGACAATAGAAAGTTGATAAAAATCCGTGAACCATGCCAATGAATTCTAACTGTGCTTGGTTTAGCACACGCTAGCTGAAGATAGCTTGAATTGAAAATTTTGCTAACATACCCAGATGCAGCAATGAAATTGCGAAGGTGCCCAGCTGTTAGACGCAAGCTAACAGTGTATTTCTCACGAGGATTGGATCGGTTGTAGATGGTGAGATGCTCCTCAATGTACTTTTGCTTCATTATCATCTTCCGATTCTCTCGCAAAGTATCAAAATTTGGTCTTACTACAATATTGTGGGAGGCTTTTTCAGTCGTTCTTGTCGATAATGCCGGCACATCCACATGTAACCGTTGAGGAATAGTACCTGACATCTCTTGCGACGCAGGAACGTCCACTCTAAAGAAAAGAGAATCATTCTTGATGACATACTCTAGCTTCCGGTGTAGATACAAATTTCTTAAAGTAAGAATCTGAAACGAAGGAATTAGATCAAGGTCATCATCGCGATGCACTTTGTGTGCTGGACCTGATTGCTGTGAGGAACGCAGAACATCGTGGAGAACCTCTGAATCATCTGAAAAATCAATAACTGCGCCAGAGGATTTTAAAGGCGGTTCACTTGGAACGCGTCCCAGCTGCTGAATTCCACTAGACCCCACCAAGACCTCGTTCTCTATAATAGGGGCATTGACAGGAACATCCGTGCCGCAAAAGTCATCATTAGCTATGGAACAAATCCCTGCGTCACTGGAAATATCTGTAAAAGTATGACCACTTTCATGCCTTCTTTTCGAAAAGACAACGTCAGTAGAGGAGATTCCAATTTGCGGGTACCGGCATTTTGCCCGAAACGGTATACAACGTTGGTAATCCTGCACATACATTATGAGGAAACTCTAATTCCTTGCGCGGCACAAATCAAGACAAAATACCTTGGAATTCAAAGTAGCAACTATCAAAAGTATAGAAAGCGTTGTAACTGCGCTAGAGCAAACTAGTATTGTTCTAAGTGCATCGGAACCATGCTCGGCTGAGAAACCACGAGATTCAAATATGAAAAAGATCTACCTTAACAAGCCGGCAATTGACAAATATAGTGGCACGCAATTCATCGCACACGTCTTCCATGAGTAGCTCCTCTTTGGGTGCAGCAATGCAAAAGTGGATCCAAAGCCGGATACTGCATGGGGACGGCCCAGAAACTTCACAATGATTAATTCCACAGGTGAACGATGCCATGTTTGGTACATACAAATTATGCGAGTCCTAGAGACAGATAATGCAACCAGGGCAAGACACTACTCCTGGATAGCAATTCAGATTGTTACCAATCATCACGCATTAAAAACATGACCAGGAATACTGTTAGATCAAAACTGCTCAGTTTTGATTGCTTCGCCGGTTGGAATCATGCTTTTAATTCAAAGAACCGGCTGTTAGACTTACCTGCTCTTAGCATCGACAGTTACAGAGCTGAAGCGCTTCAAAGACGAATTTTCAAGGGAGAAGTTTAGCTCCGTAGAATCATTATGGTCCAAGGTAGAGGACAGAAGAAACTCCATGGCAACCGAGGCTTCATTCAGTATGACAAAAGACTGATTTCGATACCAAAAATTGTAATAGATTTCTGCCATGTCTATGGCAACACCCTCTGCCCTGAAACATGGAAAGAATTCAACATGATGAGCAAGAGAATTTAGTGACAGCACTAAGAACTTTAGAGAACTGCTGATTCTTTTCCACACTGCTTTGGATCTATGTGAATTCTATTGGAAAAGTCTCAAAACACCATTACTGCTTCTTAAATGTGTGGTCTTATTAAGAACCAAGCCTGTCCATCACGGATGTTTCAAGGGATCACAAAAAGAGATGGAAAAACAATGCCCAGTTCTTATGATGTACCTGTTTCCTTGCACAAGAACATCAAAGAAAGGAACCAATGGGGCTTCCGGTCGAGCATTTTTCAAAGCTACTACTTCCATGCTAAGGTGAACAGTTTTTATGTCTGCTGGATTGTCGAAATTCTCTACAACAAGATAAGTTGAGTATACCCCTGCAAACAAAGAATTCAATGTTAACATCAAGTACACATCAGCATGGTCAGAAATTGAACATAAGGGTTTCGATGAATACCAACATACGATTCGTGCCGACTACACGTTTCCAGTGGTTTCACAACTATGTTGATGAAGTTTCAAAGAATAAATTACACAAAATAGTCCAGAGCTGAAGGCCCTTTGATGTTACAAATGAAAGAGGTAGCTGAAATTTCCCCGAATATCATTTAGAACATAGCAAAGGGAGACTGAACAGACAGAAATTAGTACACATCGCTAACTAAAGCAATTCACTTACCCATCGCTTTAGTTGAAAAAGAAAGCTTCACAATATTCTGCCGCAAGGCTTGCACAATTCCTGATGAACTGCTGATACTAAGCCACCCTGCGTCCCCATCACTGATTGTGCAAAGACGATAAGAGATCGGCCGTTCTTGATCTCCGACAAGAATCAAATTCCAATGTCGATGGCCACATGATGAAATATTCTGCTGACCTAGGTTAAACTCGTAACAAAGTGAACTTCCGTTAACTGCTGTACAACCCCGAAGACCAAGAACTGGTAACTTTGGTTTTAAGTGATTTACACTTTTGACGAGGTCCTTGCTATTGGTGTCACAAGTTTTACTTGAACCACTCCCAGTTTGTACATCAAGTCCTGCAGCCTGAGAAAGTGAACTCTGTACAAGCACTGGAGGTAAAATGAAGACGTCAACCTTTTGCCGGTTGGCACGTTCTTCAACATCTTGGATAAATACAGGTACCGTCAGACGTTCAGCAGTGGAAAGACCTTCAGAGACTTCCCTCGAGAAAGCCTCGTACATTTCATCTGACCATAAGGGGAATTTCACAATAATATCAATACTACCATTAGGAGGAACTAGCGCCTCTCGTGAAGAGATCTCCAGGTATTGCAATTGGGTACCAAAGTCATCCGACAGTGTTTGTTGATCCCAGACCTTCAGTTGCAGGTGGTCGAAAGCAAGATAATTCTTAACAATTATCCTCTGTGAAGAATTAGACTTCTCATGCAATCCTTCCCATGTTCCAAGTCGATTATTTGTAGTGTTACGTTCCACATCTGAGTTCGAAATAGCCTGATTTGCGTCAACCCCATTTCCAGCACCATCGGCCTGATAAAGAGCTTCTCTGTCTGAAAAATTTGCCTGGTCCAAACAGGATTCTTGCGTAGGTTAGTCCATCTGCAAGACTCCTTTTTCTCTAAGCGGCTTATTCATGTGCGGGTTGTTTGAAAGGCGCTAAAAACTAGCTGAATTGACACATTGAAATCGGAAAAACCATGTTTGGCAAATATTAAAGAAGTAAACCGGTTTACCAGCAACTAAGTAATATATAATAATGAAGTTGCAAAAGAGTCGACGTAATATTTAGTCTTCATTGCCAAAGAATGTCACTACACGTAAAATGTCATGAAATTAGATTTCAATTTAAGTGGAACGATGGTCAAACTGTGAATTAAACTCACCTGGCATTGCAAGGAACTTGGGGACACATCAAGCATTGGCCCTTGAATCAGAGTTCCAAAAATATCGATGCAGTCAGGTAAAGGAGATGAATATAAATACAAATGCCCTAAACACACCAACGCCGACGTCTCTGATATATTTTCTTCGCTGCTAAAAATAGCATCTTCTCGAGAACTAGTGCTATCGGTAGTATTTCTCTCATTGACCATCCGAAATACATTAGAACTAATTAAATCAGAATTTGAAATGGTTGTCCAGGATTTCTCAGAGGGTTCTTGTTGCTTTACATTCGTTAATGATGATGTCGCAAAAGGTTTGTCATCATTCTCAAGTGAGCTTCTAGGGCTGATTGTAAAGATGTTGCTGCGCCTTTCCGCATCATCTACTCTGACAGCATGGGGGATGAAATCAGAGACCAGTCGAGCTCCTATCTGCACCTCCACTGTTTCTCCAGGCTGCAGTGTCAGCTCAGTAATTGAAGAATTATTTGCGAGTGATGTGACCTCCAGCATTACCTACAAAATCACAAGCCACGAGAATAATTAAAGAGCGACGAACAAAAGTTAATAATTCAATGGCAAGCATTGTGGTGCATAAATACCATTGTTGACGACAACCCAAAGCATTTACAGGCAATGGCAAGCATCCTCAATTCACTAATATAGAAGTCTAAACTCGTTTACACGTTTTAGATCTTAAGAACTCTCATCAGTGAACATTTGAATTTACCAGTGACTCAGTATCTTCCACTTGATGCAATTCCAGTGCTACACCAATCGACTCTGTCGACAGATTCTCCACCTACAACAAGAATTACACTAAACTTTTTAAAAATAAAACCAGAGACAATCCTCAAGTGCATGACATAAAACCAAAATGTCTACCCTCTAGTCGAAGGTGCGCATATCAAATGAGCATTCAACTCATCATCCATGATCAATCGCAAGAATATATGCACCAGAACTGAAAACAACAGCATTATCATCTACTTTGTGCCTTAAACTTACTGATAATCTCCTGCTGCAATGTTGCGCATTGGATTGTAACGGCACAGTGAGAGGTGGCAAAACTAGTGCTGACTCCGTCAGACCTATAAATCTCAGGTTGCGAACGGTCATTTCTGCAACAACAATGATTTTCATGCTGTTCTTCGCATTATTGCAGTTCACAAAACACAGCTTCCATGACCATGTCCTAGCCTGCTTATTATGCTCAAGCTTTGATGTGTGCAAAACAACCTGGATAGAATTTGATTCCCTCGCAGGAATACGACAAGGTGTAAACCCGTTTGCTGAAGGAACAACTTCCAACCCTTGAAATGAAAACGAGAAAACATCTGGGGCATCAGTGATCTGGAAAACCATTTCAGCATCACTGACATTATAAAATTCTACGTCAAACTCGAGATCTTCCCAACCATTCGCATCACCAACTTTACCGAGATTTATCACCTTCGTCTCAACCTCCCCAAACGAAACGCACATTGAGCCTGTGATGGTCACAAGCTCCATAGCCTGAGAAAGGTCCCACTCCTCTTGCACAACAATAGTTTCACATTGGGCATCCTCTGTCATCTCAGTGATGTTTGACTTGCAAAATGCCAGACGTCCCTCAAAAGCACATAGCTGCCCCTTTTCCAAATGAGACACGTCTACAGACAACAAAGGCTGAATTCCATCACAAGTCACTAGCAATCGAGTCGTAACTCCAGGTAAGATATTAAATTTGTTTCCACAAGCGCTCCATCCAGACGGACTTTCAGGTGTTTGCTTCAAACTCTGCGTCACAATACCAGAAGTAGTAGTGAAGGTGGTCTGCCCGGATTTCAACTCTGCTCTTGAAACTAGTTTATCAGACATTTGACTCACATCCTGGTTTCCCACAAAAACCTGCAACGACAGAGTACTAACAGGTTGCAGAGTGAGCGCTTCGTCCGACGAATTTGTGAGAAGCAGAGACGACTGGAATGAACGTTTGAATATAGGATATTCAGCCGAACTCATTACTTCTCTTTCAGTAGGACTGCGACTCTCGATCTGGATCCCACTAGGATCAAGTGATACATATACAATCCCTATGTCAAGCTGGTGGTTATCTACTTTGTCCACATTGAAAGTGGGTCTGCCTTGAAATTTTTCTTCCGAATCTTCTGGAGGACATAAATATATGCTTCTAGGTGACAACCCTTCGAAAGCCAAATTATTCTCGACACCCTTAGTTAATTTGCCTCTAGTAGATTGATTTGAAAATTTGTGAGAATCATTTGAAGACAGATTCGTATCAACGGGAACGCCCACTCTTTCTGACTTGGAGCTCTGGAAGCGTTGCATAGGAGGTTGGACGTGACATTTAAGACTGCCACAATCCACATAAATTCGCAGCATCACTTCAGCATTCTGTTCTGGGCAAGAATGATTCTGCACTAATATACGGTCTTCAATAAGCCCATATTCCGTTACTGGCAAACAGTATTTAATGGCTATTTCCGACTTCTCTTGACTGCCCGTTGATATAGTAGCCTCTTTTCCGATTAGATACCCCCCCAAAAGAGACAATGATGTCCGACCAGCTGATAAAGAAAAGCATAAGGGCATTTGATCACTGGGGTTGGATACTACAAAGGACCCTGACATAAACCCTCCAACCTCTTTCAATCGCCCAAGATCGACTAGCGAGGTAGAAACCTGAAGAAGGCTTTGTCCCACCATTGCCCTAAACTTCACCATTATCTCATCCTGGACATCATCTTGATAATCATTAGGGTCCATAGCAGAATCTGTTGACTTAACAGAAATCCTCATCCCTCCAATAACCTCTCTGCAACGTCCGTTTCTGTAAGCTGAAGCATCCCCACCAGGTCGCAAGCACAAATATGCAGTTTCTGACTTAGTCCCCTGAATTTGCATTTCATCTGTCCGAGAATCACCAGTGGGATATTGTGAGATATAAACCTGTTTAGCCAAGTTTGATCGAAATGCCAAGGTAAGAGGACTGTTGTGGAGATTCTCAAGCTTCAAGGGGACAACTTTTGCACCTTCAGGTGCATTGATAAAACAATAACCCATATCCAAAATAGATCCCAATGGAACATCCGGCAGCCGCAGTCGATGAACTTTGCGAGGAGCCATAGTAACGTTTACCTGACTTTCAATCAAACAAATGGAACTTCGGACGTGAATAGTGTAGGCCTGTTTCCCCGTTTTTACGGGTTTGCAGATTATTTTGGCGGTCAAAGATCCATTTCCCTCTATTCGTCCCAGGGTAGGAGTTACAGAAATGACTGGGTCGACCAGGGATGAAAGTCGACTTTCCGCTGGTGAATTGTCGGGCACTTTAGAAGGGAATAACGTGTTGACACGAGACACCCCTATCTCATATTCAACTTCAAATCTCGATCTATTAAAAATGGTAATCTCCTTCATCAGAATAGTCGAAAGGTCTGCTTCCGGAAACGCAATGTCTGTGGGTGTAACCTTCAGAAATCTCTCTAGCTGCTTAGCACGCAGCAGTAATTGAATTTGGTTGAGTTTTCCATTTGGTTTTCCATTTGGTTGAGTTTGCATTGTTAAAGTTCCCGTTCCAAAGCCCTGACCAGAAATCCCATCGTTAGGCATTTCAGAAGCCGTCGCGGTCAAATTATCCTGTCTCACTGGATAAACACGCCTTTTCGAAACATCATTAGGCATACGAAGACTAATCCACTGGCCCATGCCTCCTTTAAGATACGAGGAAGTCACAAATTTCAGTGTGCCAGTGGAAACCGTTTCTAACTCCTGGAACTCCAGCTTGTGCCATTGCAGTTGTGTTCGCTCACGAAGAGTAGAAGGCTCATTCCACTTTCCACTTTCAGCTCCTGCTCCTGCTAACGCACAAGTGATACCAGTGCTAGTATTGCCATCAAGATCGACACCAAGATCGCTAACCCACAACTGAAGGTCATGGGAACCCGGCCAATCGAGAACAAAGCGAATCCAAATATCTTGTGGGCACAATGATCTCAATAAGTACGACGACTCCATCATATCTCCACCATCATGATCTTCCAGAACAACTTCTCCGGCAAGCTCTGTGTCAACAAGAATGTTACTCTGTGCTACTGGGGATGTTTGCTTGGCTTCATGTATCTGTTGTTCCTCTTTTGAGAACGACTCTAGTTCCCCGAATCGCAGAAGATCTACTTCGAAAAGAGCTTTGGGACTGGGAAGGCCACCTCCAGCCATAAGAACGCTGATCCTGTTACTGGCAGGAAAAGAAACCTTCTCCGAATTCCAAGATCCAAATCTAGTTGAGTGCTCAGAACCATCCGATAAATTGCAAGAAGTTGCAGCTGTTGTACTGATACCGCTATCGAAATTAAGGTCAACGGGCTCTATAGAAGAAAACAAACTTGATGCGAATATCTTCCTTGAAGCTCGGTGACCAGATAGCGTCTGCGGAGTCTGACCACCGCTAGGAGAAGTTGGAGCAGAGCTATCAGGTGTAATAGTCGGAGATAGTGAAAGTAAAGAACTTGGAGAGTCTTCCCCAGTTTGAATACTCTGAGCGTGTAAAAAATAGAGGTCAGTCAAAACAAATTTGAAATAGTGATATTTACAAAACTTGATTTGTCTAGAAAATATGAATAAATTGAACACCACAAACCTAACAACAAACTCTGAACTAGAAGTTTTAGTTCACTAACGATACAATCATAAATTTCGTACTTTAAATTGAAAAGATCTATCAGTTACCATTTTAAAGGCCCTGTGATGTTGCATCCTGCAAAAGTAAGCTAAAAGGTTCCTAATTTGAAATAAACCAAGCAATGTTGTACATACCTGTTTCAATGAGCTCAGAGCGTGGTCGTCATGAAAACTATTATCAGAGCAAATTGTTGCTTCAAACTCTACACGTTTCATTACATCCTGCCTCATCACCAACACAAAAAATTTACAAACCATAAATTGACACTAGTTCAAAATCTTCCCGAATGCCTGAAGCAGGACCTGTAAAAATAGGAAGATAAAAACAAGGGATGTAAACACATGGGTACGAAATTCGAATGAAACGATAGTAATCATAGCGATCGAGCAAAGTGAGTTCTAAGAAAATATACGTTAGATAATAGTACCTGATTTTTGCTTTCATAGGCGAAAAAAGCCCCTCTAACATGTTCGCCCAATGGCGTGGGATCTGGCATCCATGCGTAATAGCTCACAAGTACAACCTGAAGAGCAGTAAGATTCCATAATCAAAGATAATGACATCGGACAAGATTCACTTGGAACAATTGAACTAATTTGTCAGCACTCAATCTATATTACAAACCAATGTGCCTAAAATTAGTAACAAGCCAAATAAGTCAATTTGATTGAGAAGCTTTCAAGCAGCCACAATTCATATAATAATGCTACATAGGCATCATATCAGCATCCAATCACATACCTGGGATTCATTTGGCTTTAAAGTGAAACTGATGTAGCCGTCTGAGCTTTTCGAAGTCAAGTCCTTCTCTTTATCCGCATTAAAAGCGACGTCACAGCTTACAGAATTCGACTGATAAGTTGAGGAACATTGTTTATTACTTAGCTCAGATACGCGATCCGAACCTTCGCCGCTAGCTACCTCTTCGTGCTTTTCACTACTCCCATTTCCTGTTTCTTTGAGCTTTAGCTCTTCGATCTCTTTTCTAATTTTGGTTACTTTGTCTATCTTGCCTTTGCGCTCATAAGCTAGAGCCTTTCTTTCTAAAGCTTCAATTGCTTCCTGCTCAGGTCGCACATGGCAACGAAGGGTTTGCTTCTTTGGCTCAATTACAAACTTCAGTTTTCTCAGAGCAGGCTGTGCATTTGAAAATTGCAATCTAGCTGGCACAGGACGTCCACTTTCCTCAACTCCACAATCAACTTCCCTCAACTTAAACGTTCTTGATTGTTTACTAGTGTTTGAGAACAAAAAATTTTGAGGGGAAGACCACTGTCCTGATATAACTGCTCCAAAGTTGATACTGTTACTCTTGAGCCAGAACGTTTCAGCCCGATTAATTGTGGCCTTTAAAGTCACTACCTGGTCATTGTCAGGATCATATACATTGCTAACTATTAGTGTCTCCTTGAAGGATCCACCTAATGAAGGCTGAAACACAAAGTTCACTTCCTGGCTGCTGTGGGGTTGTAGCACCCCAGTGCGTCCATCGATGATGTGCAAATCACCAGAACCAATCGAACCTGCGAAGTATTTCGGAAATTGGCAATGGAAATTCTCAAGTTAGTCGGAAAATGTAAACAGAATTGTGACTTCAATTACAAGATTCTCATCTGTTCACTGTTTCTTCGACTACAAGAAACAGTGAAAAATGAGAATATTAAAAGTCCTCAACCAAGTGCAAGTCTCAGGACTATACCTGTTTTCTTGATCTTGTACGGTAGGGGAACATCTGACACGTTATTCAGTACCAGTGTTTTAGCTCGATGCTCGTTGGTAAAAAGTTTACCGAAGCTGATGTTCTTCTGAGCGAGGGACAGAACTGCCCGACAGATCTGCATTACCACACAAAAAGGATGAGATCGAGCAATTCCACCAACAAACATAATTCCACTAACTCTATTCCAGACATTATATTCCAATCTTGCCATGTGACAATTCTGCATCGTTGGCTCGACTCAAATTTAAAGGAATAACATGTAAAACCACTTCAAAAGTTTGGCACAACATTTGCACCTACTTTAATCTCCACAGGAATTTCTCGAGTCAGAAGGTCATCATCAACAGTCGGCTCCAAAAAACCAGGTTCCAGATGTTCCTGGTGCTCTTTGTCATACTCAATCATTTGAATGGTGACCTGACAAGAAATCCCCAATCCAGCACCATTCAGAAATGAAAGAAGCGATGCGTCGAATTTGACATATAGATGTCCACATATTGTGTAACTTACACAACATCATCTTGAGGAAATTATGAGACTTAATTATGAACTTCCGGAACTTGCATTAGGTGATAATCATAAACACATATAAGAAAACCAATCGCATTAAGAAACTGTATAAAGAATTCCAATTTTGAATAATTCTAAATGGTCTTTTATTGACACCTTCATGTATCAAAGGCACACCCACCTTCGCTTCAAGCTTTTGCAGCTTCCCTTGCAAGTCAGCGTGCGACTTTCCATCTACAACCAGTATAACATACAGGTTCCTTGATTCACCTGGTAAGAGCTCAAGCTTTCCCAAAAGCGACAATGAATGTGGAATATCTTCTCTGGCGTGCCTGATGCGTTCTCTATCTCTAATGTGACTGCCAATGAACTATCGACCACATTACAGCAGCGATGATATCCATTAAAATTTGAAAAATAATGGTTTCGTCGTAAAAGCGCAAAACTGAATATAATCTGAACTATCCGGGTGCAGATTTCAGTAAGCCAGACTAGCCAGGCGTCATCTTTACAAACGAGTAGGGTTATGATGGAGCTTCGTCTCGTAAGATATATCCGTTATCCACAAAATGACAGAAGTAAAACATAAAGTTAGCAAATTTAAGTATTTACAAAAAAGTTCAAAGTACTTGGACGAAAGCACACCTTTTTCACTTCATCCTCGTCCGTGGAGGAGCAGTCTAAAACCGTTTCACATCCAAGCCGAGTTAGGACTTCTTCGAGATAGTCGTCGTCAGAAGAACCTTTCCGAGAAGATCTAAGAATTTTAGACCCGTCCTCAGCAGCATTGAGCATTGCATCACTTTGTACTCTCTTTAACGCTCCTGGTTGAGAGTCCTGATCAGGTTCTCCGAATGACTTCACGTCAGCCACAACCTCGTCCGTCGATTTGTTGGTGATTGCTGAAGTAGCGAGTGGGCCAGCGTCCAGAATCGGAAAACCTGTGAGACTGGTTGATAGTGGACTCGAAGAGAGATCTAACGACATCCTGACATGACAACGAAAAAAAGAGAGCTGTCAAGCTAGATTGTACAACATCTAGAGCATGTGCATCAGTTACTCAGGCCGATGTTCCGTGTAAGAAGTTGAATACTTCATCATTTATAACTCAAAAAAAATGCGTTTGTTCTGGTTCTTGACGCTCAGCACGAAAGTCAGGTAAATGGAGTTTTGAGAGCGGTCAGTTTAGCAAGTTATTCAACACATGTTCAGCAAGAAGTTATATATAGACCAAGGAAAGTAATAGCATGGCCATTGAGAGGGTTCTGGGTCTAAGACCTCCAGTAATCACATATCCATTAGTTTTCCATTGCATTGCTAAAACACAGTTACTATTGGCTTCTTCTAATATGTGGGTTCCTCGATTCAACTATTCATGCTTCCAAGATGGCTAGGTGACTAATTGCTAAGCGATTCCTACCTAAAAGAACAAGCTTAAAACATATTGCATCAAGGTCATGAATATATTTCAACCAAGTAGCACCAACCTCATCCTTGTCCTCTTCTCTGATGAGAAAAACGATCTGGAAGTCGCCATCTTTGAATGACCCTGCTGCAAAGGGAATGAAGCTGAATCAACAATTGCTTTGCTTAGCCGAGGCTGAGATTCTTCAAGAGTTTCAAGAATTTTCTCCTTGTTGACAGTCGCAGCATAGGCTCTTAACAACACAAATCACACACAGGCTGAGTTTCTCTTCTAGCAGTTTCCTCAGTTAATGACATAGCAACACACTATACCCATTAATGAATTACATGCTCAGCAATGCCGCAAGCACTCCATGTTTAAGGGGACCATAATATCCAAAACTATGGTAGTATCTGAAATCTGATATGTGATCTTCAGAACAAAATAAGAGACCAAAAGCAGAATAAAAGGGGACATTACTTGGTAACTAGCATTAGAACCATAGAAATAAGAACTACTAAACCATGAGCTACCAACAACATCAAGCTACTAGTCCATTCAGCCTTGACTAGGTAATGCCCAAAATCAATGCTTGAAAGACGGTTTCAACTTGTAAAGGGATGAAACCACAGTTGGACTAAATGGGATGTAATTTAACACAAGAAATCTTTAAATACTATGAAAGGTAGAATCAGAAATTCATTTTTGTACCCTGAAACCTGAAGTACACCCAAATTATAAGAGTGCAACACACCTCTTTCGACTTTCGTGACTGTCCTCCTCGCTTGTTTCACTAGAAAGGCTGCATACATCGCCGACACCAAGGTCCTCATGCTCTGACGAAGAGCTACCTTGTAGAGTATAGATACGCAGCTCTTCCGGCATGTTGGTATTAAAAGCCAAAACCAGTTCTTTAGCCGTGATGTTTTCAACTGACAAAATCTTGACACATGGGTTGTTGACAACCGCACTGGTTCACAACATCAGATGATTAGAAAAAACCAGTCTACCAACAAATTCAGCCAAAAGTGATGCAGTTCACCCCTGCCTCACCCAAAATATATGAAGGCCACTATGAACAGTAAAGTAGTTAAAAGAGTGAAAATAAAAAATAAAAACAAAAAAAAACAAAAACAAAAAACAAAAAACAAAATAATAAACAAAACAAAACAAAACAAAAAGAAACAAACAAACAAACTAGAAGACAGATCAGAGGAGCTTGCTACTGATATTTCCATCACGTTGTGAAGTGGTCACCTGTCAAATATAAGAAAGTTGCTCATAGACGGCGTTTGCAATTTGTAATGTATGGAATGGAACAGAACATGATGACGATCCATTATTTTTGCTCGAACCTCCAGTACTTGACTATTTTCCTTGTTCAGAAGATTGTCAACTCGAATTTGCTTCCTATACTTATGATTGATCTTGAGGGGAACAAGATCTATATCCAAACTGTGTGTCTGACGAGCCGGGATGGAAACTCGCTCAGCTTGACTTTTAATGCTGAGTACGGTTGATGTAACATATGGAGTTATGAGTGCTGGGAGGTCAGAGAGATTAAGAATCTGCACACTTGATGCTTTTGTTGAGCCAACATTGCAATCACCAAAGTTAAGCTCCTGGGTCGACAGCTTCACAATAGATGTGCATATTTGAGATTTGCACTGCAACCGTAGAAGACGATATTAGAGAACATCTAACATCGTCAATGTCTGCTGTCGTCTGTAGATTATCCACGGAATTGTTAAAGGCACTCAAACTAGCAATCGATTATTTCCGATCCCAAGATGTTGTGTTGTAGAAGCAGCCAGTTGTCTAACGATTCACCAAATCTAATACAATACGATAAATACCTGAATGATCTTTGAGAAGCGCTGCTTGCCATAGCCCTTCTTTTCGACACACTTCAGTGACAATCGAAAATTACGTCTTTGCAACCTCGCGGCCTTCAACTCGTCGGATGCGCCGGTCGGAAAGAACCAGACAAGGAGGTTTTTCTCTTCTCCATTTGCTAAAGTAATCATGTCTACCTTACTCTTCTTGTTCACAGTGACACTCGGACAAGCAGGATTTCCCTGCCCATTAGAAATATGGAAGTGTAAGTACTGCAAATTACGGAGTATATCAGCTACTTAAATACATGGATTACATGATGAAAGCAGCCGAGAATATCTGCCTCATTCTTGAAAAGAGAAGAAACCCAGGGTCAAGGCACATGTTACTAAATGAGCTGAATGAGCTATAAAATGTTGAGAAATTAAGTCCGCATCCTATTCTGAGCTAAACATGTCTTCTAAAAAATCTCACCATATCTAAGTAGTTTTACAGTATACCACACAGGAATGGGAGAGGTGTGTATCGAACACTGCAAACGATAATAACCATAGACAAACACCGAAAATCTGAACTTTGCAGTGATATGAAAGAACTGTTTACGACCTCTAAATAAATTGACGGACTGGTGGGCAACTTGAAAACGAACCAATTTATCAAGTGCAGGGGTTTCATTGTTATCTCCCTCCAGACTGACAATATCATCGTCCTTAAGGATGTGATCAACAGGGCTGATCACATCCTTAAGACGGGCCTTCGAAGCTGCCGACAAAAGATCCAACTCAGTCTGTCGATAAAAGGCCACTCTATCACCAGAAGCATGATCTGAGCTCAGGTTGACTACCAATGCCTGCAATTCAAAACTCCGGGTAAGAATTTTCATGCATTAGAATCTTCTTAGCATTCCAAAAACTCAAACTACGTAAGCCTTTTATGTTCCAATTTGAACGTACCTCCTGAGTAATATTTCTAAGGGTCAAAAGTTGACACGTCCCATTTCCTGAGTAGCAATCGCCAAAATCTAGTACTCCATCTTCTCGGACACCAGTAACCAAAAGTCCCTCTTGCTTTTGCTCAGGGTTGACCTACAAAGATAAAGATATTTAGTAGGAAGACCCGAAAGCAAAATCAAGTAAGTGGTACTGTATGCATCACGAGTTCTCTCTAACAATAACTAACTCGTCCATAAGAATAGGTAGAGTCCTTGAACAAAATTAGATACAAATGAAGAAATGTCCAAGCTTACTATGCACCGGAAGGGAACAGATTTGGAATTTTTTTCATCATAATTGTTTTGTAAGTGTATGATGTGCGTGAAGTCTCCAACATCTTTTGGCGTGTACGTGACACGAATACGACGATGAGAAAAGCTTTTGATATCTCCTCTTGAAACAGGAAGGCCTGTATCATAATCTGTAAGCTCCAACTCCTGTAACTCACGTAGACTAAATAAATACAACAAGAACATAGGCGAGCATAAATGAAGAAAGATTACCTGAATAGATCTTAGTAAATGTGATAACATATGTATCTAATCAAATACATTGTCAACATCACGAAGGTACTCTAGATAGTAACAGACAATGTTATTCAAGTTTTGCAAGAATCTAACTTTTCATTCAACAAGCTCAGTACACTCACTAGTCAAGACTCCAAACAAAAGTGGGACATGAGAAGAACAACGAGAAAGTGTAACAGACAGTGTTCAGAACATGCATACCGGCTTCACAGAAGGTCCGCATTTTACATTGAGTTCAAAGGATCCTGGAATTTCAGAGAGATTCCAAATACTGAAGTCTTTGACAAAAACACCTCCTGGAACACAATCCTTTAATACTATTTCTGAAACATCTGTCTTCAGGACTGATCGACATACTGTTGAATTAAACTGCACGATAATATTCTGATGGTTGATAGTAGAAGTCTCCTTTTGCCTGGCTTCCACACTGCCATCTAAAACACTCGCAGTAAAACTGAGCTTCCCATCGACCCTAAAAATTTCAGTTACATTTGAGCCAAGACGCCTCATAGAGCTTGTCGACGCATTTTGCCCCGCAATCTGTACAGCGTACGAAGCACATCAGTTCTGTACATGAGGTAAAACTTGTAAAATCCGAATCATGATCAACAGTTTTCAAATGTGACAAAACCACCATCTTCTACATGAATGAGGTCAAAGTAGATATAGCAAACCAGATTAATGTTGTTCGCGTCATTCTCTTTGGAAAACCCTTTGAGGGATTCAGTAGGCCGAAAAGTCAATATCACTTGCTGGACTTGCCTTGGCTGCAGTACAACCTCGGAGACAAGATTCACAGTATTGAACAACTGCGAGCCACAATTTTAAATATATGAAAATTAGACACGAAATATCAATTGACGCCTAAGCCTCTTTTCTTTATGAAATGCCAGATCATTATATCATTCGATCTCCAACTGGACGATTCAACCTTCATTAATGCGACTAATTCACTAGGCAACTTCTGTTAATGCAAAACGATACAACCATAAAGACTACATTGTCCGCAAGGCACCATGGTATAAATACTCATGCTATATTAATAGATAATCCCGATTTTAGGAGTGAAGGAGCGAAGAGATTAAGAATTTTGAAGAGCCTGCTCGCCCGAGAGGTCTATCCACCAAAATATAGTCTGTAATGCGACCATAATTGAAACTGAGGGACTAAACCCTGTGTACGAACAGGATAACCAATACCAGCAGACACGAATCAATGGAATCACAAGATATATAACTTACAAATGACTACTCGTTGAACTATCTGTAAGTGATCCTCGGGAAAACATAACGTACTTGATTGAAGTCGTCCGCTAAGAAGGTCGCAACTGTCTGCTCCGCAATATTTTCATGATCAAAGTTTTCGTTGTCTATCTGAAATCCAATTTGTGATCCCAAGTCGGTCTCTAACTTCACGAGAAGCGTTTCATTGCAAAAACTGTTCCAATAACAACCGCCGATCAAATCAAAGTAAATTAATCAATACATAAATGAACACATAAATGAATAAATAAAGATTGTAAAAAATGCACTCTATAAGCACGATCAAACAGGATGGAGACGATTTTCTCACAGATTGACCCCAACACCAGTATTGAACGTCCCTGTGCACGGTGACACTTCTTCATGAATAAAGAAATGAATTGAGACAACAACAGAGGAAATTGTAAGAAACTCTACCTGATGAACGAGAACTTGCGAAGGACGTGAAATTCATTTAGGATGACATTTTTCAATATCATAACATTATTAGTAATATCAGTAGCAAACAAGGCCTCCGGATCTCCCTCGTTTGTCGCAACTTCGGGAGCCATACCCGTACTCACGGTTTCAACGCCGCGTTTTACTAAGTCACCATTTAACATTTCATGTCACGATCCAGCTTGACCTTAAGCTCCTCCCGCTACCTCAATCTAATTCAGACATTAAACCCTTGATAAGTCAAAAAATTCCATCCAGCTCTCAAATTTAACTCCACCAATGTCATACCACGGCTGTTTCGCAGCTTAGTTATACCAGCGGTAATTCCAATGATCAACGCTAAACTAGCAAAGACCAGACCGATTACAATTTCCACGAAAATGAAGCTGACAATTGTAAACTGTCAAGCGAACAATTGTAGCGCATTCTTCGAAAGATCTCAATAAACGATGCCATCCTCCTCTACAATCAACTACAAATTCATTATCACAAAACTGAGTCTGCATTCTACAATTTCAAACTATCTCCACAAACTCTTGTAATTAAACACTAATTTAAATTGGAGTCGCTTCTCCTCGTCATTGCAATTATGCAATCCACTGCTACACCCCCGAAGTAACCAAGCAAACAGACCACCAAAAGCATTTGCAAATTAAAAATTAAAAAATCGGGAAAGCCAGGATTCATCGCCAAATTGCATAATTCTCCGACCCAAACAAAACCAAACCACCTGGCCCTCTCAAAATTCATCCCTACCTTCTTTACGCCAACATCACAACATCTCCTCTCCATCCCCATCACGTCTCCTCCTTGCTCGCCACCAAATAGTTTTAAAAAAGCGACCGAAGCAATAACACCTCGCAAGAAAAATTAAGCAATCTATAGCCAGTCACCACGAGCTACAGGGTTGCGAAGTTTCGGGTTAAAGAAAAAGAGACTCGCACTGGTGGAGGAGTCAGGGGACCAGACTGCAGTAAAAAGGATGAAAAGAAATCTCCAACAGGTGAGATGCAGAAGAGACGCTGAGCTCCTCTGCGAGCCCCTCCTGTCCATTCAACAGTGCAGGCCCGCGGCAGCTTTGTTGTTCGTCTACGGGCGGTTTCAAGCAAAGGCTTCCTCCCACATCCTCTACCCGTCTACTCCTAATTACATCAGATTGCAGCCTCTGACTTCAATGACGGCAGCCTTCCAAAAATAAATCCCGCGTGGGGCAGACTTAGCATGGGAATGTGCGCGAGATGCTCCACCACACAGGATCCCCTCGCCAGATTCAGTCCACCCGCGTTCATCCCAGGGAATTCGTTCTCCTTTCGTAGATTTACTTGCTATAAAGGTGGCTATCCGGAAGCATTCCTGATCCACTTCCGCAAAGATCCTGTACACAGCAGCAACCGCAGCTGAAGAGGCAGAAGCGAAAGAAGAAGGAGAGGAAGACTTGTACAGTGGAGCTGCTAAGTCCTCAACGATTGAAACAAATTCATGAGTGCACGAGCGTGCGTTCTCTCTTCTTCGCAGCGTCCAGAACAAATGAAGCTCCGGAGCAACAACAACAACAACAAATGCTGCCCCCGCACCTGATGCTGCTGCTGCTGCTGCACATTCTGCCTCTCGCTATCTCGCACCTTTTTCAAGCATCTCTCTCTCGCTCTCTCTCTCTTCCGCTCATGCATTCGTTCATTCATTCATGCATTTGTTCATTTATTCGTTCATTCATTCATTCCCCTGCCCCGCCTTCTTCATCCCGGCACTTTTCCCGTACCTTGCCACTTTCCCGTACAATTTAAAATCTTCGCTTCATAAAACCCAACGTCCGCATGTCAGCCGCGAATTCGTCCACGTCATATGTGTTTTTAATTTCGTGCACCAATACTTGTAGATAGTTTAGAAGTCTCATTCTGAGATGGAAATGGAGAGCCATCAAATCATTTGATGATATAAAAGAATATAAAATTTGATCAACTTCTACTTCACTTCCTCAAATAGCGGGATGCTGTTTCAATATTGTTGGTCATTATCTATTGACTTTGTTCTTGAAGCATGGAAGTTTGCATTGTTATTGTAGAGTTGTGTTAGTTTGACATGTGTTATGAGCTCATTGTGTGACTCTTTTAGGTTAATATTTTTGATATGATTCTTGGTTGGTCCTCAATCAAAATTTGCTTATGTTAAGAAAGGGAAGAATCAATGGGTGGGATTTCAAAATAAGATACCACTTGCATAAAGCAATAAGTAGAACCATTGACATGCACATGTACTCGTGTGTTATTTGTTGTGTTTGTGTGCACCAAGTCTTGTCGAGAATGTTATATCATTATAGCTTCCAATTTGCCATTGTAAGGCAATAGAAGTTAGAGATCATTATTTATTTTTATTTTTATTTTGAAAGAGGGACTTCAAACAAATCTAAATCTGCTTTTACTTTCTCTAAGAATACAAGGTGGCACACAGCCCCAAATGTCTTCTCTTCACACAAGGGGAAGAGGATAAGACATTCCCAATTCCAAGCAAAACTGAGTTCATGTGATGAGAAGCACAGTACATGCCTAAAGTCAGAAGCTGTATAAGGATTCACAAAACTTTTGTTCCCCCAGACTATATATATATTATTTTAAGTGTGTGCTTTCAACCTTGAAGTAAAAATTAAAGAGAAATACAGCCTCATTGTTAAATATTAAAATCATTAAGAAATGAAGAGGGGCATATGGATCAAAATGAATCTCATAGATTTGATTACACTGAATACAGTAGAGTAGAGACTCTCTCATCCTGAAGATGCCATTCAGAACCCATGTTCTGCACCAGCATCCACCCTCAACTGGAGCCTCAGAATCAAAAAATTAAAAATTAAATACATATTAATATTTTCCAGATACATGTGCACTTTGACATCACTACCAAAGCTGCACATGGTGTTGCCACTGCTGCCCTTATGGGAGAGAGCGCACTTGTGTTGACTGGGTCAAGGCAAATAATAAAACTAATTGTTGGAAGTGATGGCAATGTATGGTGGCAACTTGGGGATGTCAATCAATCAACTATTACATTTCTAAGCTTATATTTTTTAAGAAGCACCCAATCGAATAGCCCAATTTGGAGAATAGCGAAGCATATAATGTTTCATGTAACAAGGTCAAACATAACCATATGTTAATTATTTTTGTGAATACCACCTTGAGAAATTTATTTTGGGTGTAATAATAAAAGTGTTGAGATATCTTATAAAGGAGTTTGTGCAATTGGGTTGGGCCCCCTTCTATCTAAGCATGCCAAAAGTCTATTGAAGATCCTTATTTTTAAATTAAAGTTCTTATTTATTTATTTTAAAATATTTCCCTTTGTTGGATGTCTCTCCAATTTTGGTCCTTAGTGAATCTTGTTAAAGCAACATGTTCTTCTTGCAACTTTGAATGCAAACACATGGAGAATTGTGTTCTTTTAAACACTTGGCATATTTTGGGTAAACCATGAACATTGCTAGTCATTACAATCTTTAATAAATTACATCATCTTTTGCTTTTACCTTTGCTTGAGATGGTTTTTTATATATTTTTTTTAAAGCAATTCACACATAAATCTCCCTTGCAAATCATCTTACTTAATCACCTATATCCCAAATGCTATTTTTAGTTTCTTATTTTATTTTATTATTTTTTTTCTTAGTTTCTTTTTTGCGATTCTTAAAATAAAAAGGGTTGATGAAGTTGATTCTATTGTTGATAATTACTCATCAGATTTATACCTCTGCTTTTTCATCATGATATAAACTTAACAATATTGTTTTCTTCTTTTTTGGATGCAATTTGAATAAGATATATGGTTTTATGATCCTCACACATGTCTCCTTTAGATAGCATGTTGGTAACTACTGTACAGAGTTTTATTATTGTTATTATTATTGAGATTTATCTCTTCATTCTTGTTCATTTGTTAAAAAAATTGTGCATTTTCTTCAATTTTTTTGAAACCCCAGTATGCTAGTCTACTTCATGCTTGATACTTAGATGATCCCTCAACACTCTACTGAATTTATAGGGTTTGAACATGAATTATTCTTATCCTTATTTAATATTAAACAATAACTCACTTGTTCAAGAGTTTAATACTGCAATTTTTCACACAATATTTTGCTTTGTACATATCTTTATCTTTCATTTTTGAGTCCACAATATTAACTTGTTATTATTATTCAATCTGTTCAAGAGAGAATATTTGATGTCTTCAATTCATTCTAAAAACATGATATCTTATTACTTTTTTTAACATATTTTATTTTCATTTTTATATTTTTTTTCTCTTCTTAAGTATTTTATGCATAAGCTTTAGAAAAGACATAAATATTACTACTAAAGAATAGAAGAATCTAATTTCAGTGCTTCATAGTGCACAAGTATAGGCTAGTAGTATTAGCTTTTGTTGATACTAAATGCACTTACTAAATAATAACAATAAAAACATAAACTGTTGGATGTGTTGTCGGTTTGGTGGTAATTCTAACTTGTACATGTTTTCAAAACATTTGCCTTATTTTCTAGAATGGTTTCTGAATTGGTGATTTTGATTTTTTTTTTATGTACTATAAATTTATATTTTATATCAAAATTAACTTCTGATTTGCTCTCTACATTTATTGAAATCAAATATAATTAAAGAATATTCGAGTTAGTAATAAAATAAAAGTATTGTAGAACATATATTAACTCTACCATTGACAGAACCTTTTGCTTCAAGCAAAAATCAATTTTGAATTGTAAATAATTGAATGCTACATTTAATGGTTAAAATATGTCAACTAATATATATATATATATATATATATATATATATTTGAATCTTTTTTAATTTTTTAAAATACTACAGCAAGTAATAAATTGAGTGAGATCACATCAATCTATTTACAGCATCATCTCAATGCACACTGCATAAGTTCTTAAGGCCGTGTGTGGTGTTTATTAGCCTTTAAATAATGGTTAGTTCATGAATAGGTGTTTCCATGATAATGCATTGGATGTTTCTGTCAAAGTTTCATATATCTTATGAATGATGTATTCTATCCTCACTAAACACAACTTAGAACTCATTTCAAAGTTGAATAGTGCAAGGTTTGTGTGCAATGGCAATGGCGAGAGGAGTCTAAATGTGAGATTGCAATTGCAAGTCACATTGGAATTAAAGCAAGAGAGAAACCATATTTAGTATTGTAAACATGTTTATAAATATGTTATAAATAATGTAATCATATTGTGAACTTTGTAAGTGAAAGTAACATAAAAATGATTATTTCTAGAGTTTACATAAAAGAAATTTTGTGTTATTTTTATTTTCAAAAAATATATATATATATATATATATATTAGATTTTATTTTTGATATATTATTTTTTAATTATATATATATAGTAAAATTTAGTTTTATAATATATGTAAAGTTTTTGATTTATTATACTTTCTTTGAATTATATAAAAGAACTTAAGATTAAAATAAATAAATTAATAAAATTTTCTACTTAGAATAGAAACTTGAATTCAAAAATGAAGTTAAACTTGAATTATTAATTTTTATTGATGTTTATTTTAAACACTCACATTATTCTTATATTTTGTAGAAATTAGAATTATAACTTTATATTATTACCCTATAATCCAAATATGCAATAAATCCAACTATGATAGGTACATACGTTAATATATGATAAGATGTTCTATAATATGTTTTGATAATATTATTTAACAATTGAATGAAGTCTTCTAATAATTTTTAGATGATTTTTTTTTTGTCTGTTATTTAGATAATATTTTAATCTACTCTAAGAATAAAAAAAGTATTAAATTTATATTTATGATATGCTACAATAATTAAAAAATAAAAGATTTTATGCTAAGATATATATATTTTATATAATTTGGATTGATTTAAAAAAATACATCATTTCTAATGATGGCCTTACTCTAAGGAAATTCACTCTATTATGAATTGGAAGATTTTAAAAACAATAAGAGATGTCTAATGTTTTTAGGAATTTGCTAGTTACTACTAAATCTTTATCAAAAAAAAAAAAATCAAAGCTGTAGCTCTACTTATATATTTTACTTATAAAGAAAAACTTGAGTGAGCAAAAATGCTAAAACAACATCTCAAGCATTGAATACAACTTTTACTTTTTTACCAATCTTATTTTTTATTGACTTTTAATTTTTTTTTTTTTATAATAACAAACCCATCTAACTTTTTTTTGATGCAACATCATCATAAATATGAGCTAATATTAAACTTTATCTTGTAGCCTTTAATTCAAAAATGTTTTTTGCAATTAAGATCAATTATAAGATTAACAAAAAAAACTCTTTATAATTTTAGATTTATTTTAAGAATAGAATTATTATTTAGAAGGTATTGTCTTGGATATATATATATATCTACTACAATTATTATATAGATAATAAAAATAGATAGAATTAAATAAAAGTAGATTAATTTCATTATACCTTTTAGAAAAGCTTTCTAAAACCTTACTAGATGTTGCTTTGACTTTACATATGCTTGTAGTTGATTGATAGATTAGAAACTTGGTCAACAAGCCATCCATGTGCCACATGTATTGGTAGCTTGCAA